AAAAAAAAAAAAAAAAAAAGAAAGCTGAAAAATGACTAAAGGGGTTAGAAGATCTAAGAAGAATGGATGAAGGAATGGGAACATTTAATGCGGAAATGAGAGCATTTGGTCTGGTCAGAGAGGACAACAAACAGCTATACTGTTTTGCTTGGCATTTATATAGTTATGTCCAATCCTCAGAACAGTCCTGTGTGGTGGGTATGATTGTGAGCCCATATTCTAACTGAAGAGGAAACCGAGATTTTACAAGTTGCCCAAGATCATCCAGCTAAATGGAGAAGTGGAGACTCAAACTTGGGTCTCATCCTTTGTACTAGTTTAAGAATAGACTCTCTTCCCATCACTGGAGAGAGCACGGGGCGGCAGCAAGACCTACAGAGGAGCAGGAGGGGACAAGGAAGATGCCTGCGAGCCACTGGTGTCACAGGCAAAGGCCAGAAAGACAAATGCAAAATCTTTCTTTGTCCTGGCACTCATTAGAAAGGGAATCTCTAGCCCTCAGATGCCTAATGTGTGGGCTCCTCTGAAGGCAGGAAGGACTTCATCTTCCCCAGAGGAAAATGGGCTGATTCCTAGGGCAGCCCTGAGCACCCTGCCCCTCCTCACTGAAGGAGATGCAATGACTGGCCACGGTTCACTCCATCTTGCTCCCTTGTTTTTTTACAGAGACCGGTCTCGCTATTCCTGGACGCAAGCCATCCACCTGCCTCAGCCTCCTGAGTAGCTGAGGTATGGTCTATTATGATGTCAGAGATCTCCTTTGCCTTACTCTAGCCATAACCAAGGGAAAACAAATAAATAAATAAATCCATATGTATATATAAAGTCTTATTTATATAAAACTAAATAAAAAACATTAAAATTGTAAATTTTTTTTTTACCTTAATCTTTCCATGCTCTGTTTTCTTATCCATAGAATGGATTTGCTAACTCCTTTAATTCTGGGCAATGCTCTTGTACTTGCCAGCCTCTTCAAGATACCTCAGGCCTGGTTTTCTTTTTCTTTTTCTTTCTTTCTTTTGTGGGGGCGGAACGGAGTCTCAGTTTCTTACCCCTGGTAGACTGCTATGGCATCATAGTTCACAGCAACCTCAAACTCCTAGGCTCAAGCTATTCTCTTGCCTCAGCCTCTTGAGCAGCTGAGACTACAGGCGCTGGCCATAATGCCCATCTTTTTTTTTAGAGATGAGGTCTTGCTCTTGGTTCAGGCTGGTTTCAAATTCCTGAGCTCAAGCAATCTAACCACCTTGGCCTCCCGGAGCGCTGGCATTACAGGCCTGAGCCACCATGTGGCCATCAGGTCTGATCTTTGCGCACGCTCAGCAGCACAGTGTTGGGCAGGATTTCTACCTCCTCTGCTGCTACTCTGCATAGAAGCCAAGGCTTTTGCTTTCTTGCTCTAACTTGAGTCTTCATATTGTGGAGGAGCAGTGACTAGAGGAGTTCACTGTATATAACCCGTGTGTGTGGAGCTGTGCAATTCTTTCCCATTACGATTATTTTTGAGGTAACCCAAATAGTCTCTTTCTCTAGTGCCTTCTTTTGTAGGAACATGGAAAAGGTGATTTTCATAGACTCAAGCCCTGTATTCTGACTCTCACAGACAGGTGCCTACCTCTCTTACACCCAGAGGTCATCATTTTGAATGATAAACTTTTTGGGGAGAGTAGTTCTAAAAGTTCACTAAAAATTATATTGAATTTAACTGAAATTGAGAACCTTAGGTGTGCCCACGTTCAAAATCTCTATACCTGATTTTGCACCAGTGGACTTAATCTGACTTCTAACACTGATATATCTTCTAAGTGAAACTAAGCAAAAAATACCAGGTCTACATTCCACTCCCCCCAAAATAACATAGACACAAAACCACACTGAGAAAGGAGGGCCACGGTTTGATATTGTCCAGTGATAGTGTCCCTTGGTCTCAGAATGCTGCCACTTCCTGCAGTTCCAGCCCCCGACTGTGGTCCACTCTGAGTAAGTGAATTCCTCTGTTGAAACTTGCACACAACAAGGAGGTGGTATCACCAACAGCCAGGGAAGTCAAAGGTCCAGCTCCATCCAGACACAACGTGAAAAGGCAGGCTGGGGAAGGAAGTAGAAACAAGATTAGGCCAGAGAACAAATCATGAAACACGATGTCTTTATGAGAAATCCAAGGAAATAAAGCATTTCCTGTACATACCAAATCCTTCAGAGGAAAGCACGTCAGCAGGGAAGTCAGAACTTGGGTCAACCCCAAGACATTAGATGTAGAGAGTGGCACATGGGCCATACAGGGCATAAACCACCAAGAAGTATGTTTAGACAAATGAGGCCTCACCAGCTAAGGACATGTTTAAAAAGTACCCTCAGTCACCTACCTGGAGAACAAATCAAGGAGCAGGGCAGGAAAAAACAGATAAAGATAACTAATCTTTGTTTCTTTATTTTGGAAACAGGGTATTGCTCTGTTGCTCTGGCTAGAGTGTGGTGGCATCATCATAGCTCACTGCAACCTCAAACTCCTGGGCTAAGAGATCCTCCCTCCTCAGCTTCTCTCCCAAGTAGTTTAGACTACAGGTGCTTGCCAAATGCCTGGCTAATTTTTGTGTGTGTGTGTTTTGTAGAGATGAGGTCTCACTATACTGCCCAGGCTGGTCTACTACTCCTGGCCTCATCTGATCCTCCTGCCTTGATCTCCCACAGGGATGGCATTACAGGTATGAGCCTCTGGGTATGGCCAGGGATACTGATTTTCAGCTTGTAGCTTCTTAGGATTTTGCTCCCTTTAAAGTAAAGCATAGTGTGGGGAATCTGAAGGGCTGACCCAGTTTCCCTCTACCTGCATCCTAGAGGTTGTTCTTCTATGAACTATGGACACAAACCTGCTGGGGAAGGCATTTGTGCCACCCAATCAGGTCAATACTTTCAGACCCTCTTCTCCCTGGTCTTAGGTATAGGAACATCAAATCTAAAACATCTGCTCTCTCCACCTCCCACAAATGTTACACCTGGGAGGTTGGAGAAACCAACCCCAAGTACAAACATAGCAGGGCAGTTCTTACTATGAAGGTTTGGCTTGTCATAGCTGTTTGCAGTGTCACTAGACACAGTTCTGCCTTTTTTTCTCTGAGGGAATGAATATCCTATCTCCTCCTGAAAGGAGCTAAATTACGGAGGATTTTTGTAGGAGGGATTTGGTTTAAAGTTGTTTAAATGAAAGTTATTCCTGTTTCTGACAGAACCTGTGTCTAGGACAAAATAGCATGGAGACCGTGGGGTACTGGTAAATTAGCACAACGCTTATTCATAGCACTTGTCAGTTTTCATAGTGTAAATACCCCCCACCATGTCCAGATTTCAAGCTACCAAAGCTTAAAAACCAGCTAGCAAAATTTCTGAATATTTAACAATCTGGCAGTAGGAGCTGGCCCTAGCAGGTCGAGGGCTCCAGGGAGCTGTGTTCCATACGGCATCTTTTATCCCTGGTGTCATGACCTTACTGTGATCTTAAGCCTCAGCTAGAGTCAAAACAAGGCAGAATCACTCTGAGAATATCCTTTCTCCACTTCACACTCCTTTAGTCTTTGAAACAAGAATTGAAAGGTGGTAATTCTTGTTTCCTTCTCCAGGCACTTTGAGCATTACAAGTTAAAATGTGATGAAGAACTTTAGGTAGAAAAAATATAATAGCCAAATACTTTTGAGCTCTCAGGACTGAGTCTATATAAAATGGTACCAGGAGATACATGATGATGGCTTCCAGCCAGAGGATGAACAGCAAGATTTTGGCATCTTGACCTCGCCTCTTAACCACCAGCAGACTGGACAGGGCAGGAGATGGGTGGCTTTGTATATGGTGAGCAATGGGAAGAGTTTGTTTTTTTTTGAGACAGGAG